TACAACAAACAGCATCTCTCACAAACAATTGCAGAGTGCGACTCGCTTTCCAGTTGTAACCCTGATAGCAAACCAATCTCAGACGTCTCGGTACTATAGGCGACTGTGTCGGGTGATTTGTCGTTGAACGGTGTGCTTCCCAGCTCCCTAGCTTGCCTACAATTCGAATTAAATACAGAAGGCCAGCACCGCCTCTCATAAAAATGAAAGGGTGCAAATAATTATTTGGTCGCAGGTCTGGTAGCAGACCGATCTCAGGCGTCTGGATACTTTAGACTGGTGCTTCTCAGCATTTCTTGTCGATCGGCGTGCGTCTGAGCTCCGTAGCTGGCCTAGAGTCATAATTGAATTGAGGAAACGCACATCATGTGTCGAAACATATTTAGAGTGCGAATCGTTTTTTAGTCGCATCTGTGGTTGTTTCGATATTGTCGGCGAGTGTTCCTGGTGATTTCTTGTGGTGTGCTTCCCAGTTCCGTAGCCAGCCTACAGCTCGAGTGTAATGGAGAAACCTAGCACCATCTCTTAGCAGACCAGCAGAGTACAGCTAGCTTTTTGGTCCCAGCTCTGGTAGCAGACCGACCTCAGGCATCTAGATACTTTAGTCTAGCGTTCCTGATGATTTTCTTCCGATTGCTGTGCCGAACAGCACTGTACCTCATCTACAGCTCGAGTTCAGTTAAGAAAACCGACAGCACCTGCCAAGATGACAGTCAACAGCCGATCCCGCCTAAGTGCTTTTTGCTAGTAGTATCCACCCGATCGACCTGATATCAAGATGGCGAGCGGGAGTAATATCAAGTACGGAGGGAAAACTATTAGAGTTCTAACGAATTGTTGAATTTCGGGAAACTGATTTTCAACCGACCGAAATTATGCCGATTTTCGAGCCAGCTAGCCCGCCAGCGCGCCCGAATTACTCTTAAACTTCGCCGCTTCGCTCTCTTCGGGAAGCTCTACGAGTCAGAGTGGAGGCAGCGGCGCCAGGCTCAGGGAAAGGGAGGGGACCGGCGACGGCGACAGCGACGACGACGACAACAACGACCACGACGACGACGAGGACGAGTCAAACGGAACAGCCTCTTCCACACGCCGACAGGGTCGGCGGATTTCGGATGGGCGGTGGTGCAGAATCAGATAGATGCCACTTGCAACACGCAAATGTGAGCCGTTAGGTCTGGGGGTATAAATCCCAATATTTCGTCCGCGACGAGAATCTGTTCTGTGCAATTGATTGTAGCAAGCGAGTTGTCACATCCCGTGTTCTTGCAAACATCCCACCCACCCACCCACCCGCAACTTGGTTGGAAAAACCCACGCGGTGGCGATTGTGATGCAGGCTTGGCGTTGGCTGGTGCATCTCTGCGGCCGCGCCAACCCAAGCGCGTGCGCGCAGCGGCCAGCTAGTTTGGCGCGACCGACGCGGCCGCGCTGGTGCTGACCGTTGGGCGCATCCCCGCGGGCACTTCACTGCGAGTCGGCGACTTGAGCGGGAGAGTCCCGTCCGCCTGGCAGACTTCCACGGTTTCTCAAAGGATTCGCAGGAGCGCGACGCGCGTTTTTTTTTTTTTTTTTTTTTTTTTTTTGTAAACAGCTGTTGCGAAACCGTGTGTGTTTTTGTATGGTGTTGGACACTCGGTAAAGAGATCGCTACGCAACCATTGGTTGACGGATTTGGCACGCGCGCGCGCGACAACGCTCGCGCGCGCACTTCGGCCTTTTCTGTTGCCAACGGTTTTTTATTATTACTATTATTGCGAAGCCACGCTCGCAAGAGCGTTCGAACGATTTCGACATGCGCGCGCGAAGCCGGTTCGATAGCACTGTTATATAGTTTCTGAGGAAAAACGACGGTGACCGGAAAAAATCGCAACAGCGCGCGCACAATTTTTTGAAAATCCGTGTTGCGAAACCATGTGCTCAACATGTTTTTGGGGCATTCGATTTTGCAACCCTTAAAACACCGATGGTTTTGAATGATTTCGGCATGCGCGCGCGACGACGCGCGCGTGTATACTCCGTCACATTATGTTGCAGATGAGTCTTGGGAGTTTCTGATTTTTGACAAGCGAGTGCGTGCGCATAGTGTTGTTTGCAAAAGAAGGCGAGCAGGGGCCGATACCGACTCGGTTGGGATGGTACGAGTGCAGACATAGTCATTTGTTAATTGCAATACGAAAGAGGGGTGTGCTAATCCGGGGGGGTCTTTTTGTTGATTATCCTGGCAAAGCAACCTAACAGCGATGTGCAGGAGCATATCTGGAAGCATCCCCCTTAAGATTCAGATGAGAATCCAGTTGTAGAGTTCTGCTGTTCTCGCAGTCGTAGTCGCATTCGCGATGACAGTCGCAGTGGCCTGCATTAGCCTCAGCCTCAGCCTCAGCCTGCCTCAGCATCAGCCTCAGCCTCAGCTTCAGCCTGCCTCAGCCTCAGCCTCAGCCTGCTCAGCCTCAGCCTCAGTCTGCCTGCAGCCTCGGCCTCAGCCTCAGCCTGCCTCAGCCTGAGCCTGCCTCAGCCTCAGCCAGCCTCAGCCAGCCTCAGCCTGCCTCAGCATCAGCCTGCTTCAGCCTCAGCCTCAGCCTTCAGCCTTCAGCCTCAGGCCTTCAGCCTCGGCCTCAGCCTCAGCCTCAGCCTGCAGCCAGCCTCAGCCTCAGCCTGCCTCAGCGCCTGCCTCAGCCTCAGCCTCAGCCTGCTTCAGCTCAGCCTCAGCCTTCAGCCTCGGCCTCAGCCTCAGCCTCAGCCTCATCAGCCTCAGCCTCAGCCAGCAGCCAGCCTGCCTCAGCCTCAGCCTCAGCCTGCCTCAGCCTCAGCCTCAGCCTGCTTCAGCCTCAGCCTCAGTCTGCCTTCAGCCTCGGCCTCAGCCTCAGGCTGCCTCAGCCTCGGCCTGCATCAGCCTCAGCCTCAGCCTCAGCCTCATCAGCCTGCCTCAGCCTCAGCCTCAGCCTGCCTCTGCCTCAGCCTCAGCCTGCTTCAGCCTCAGCCTCAATCTGCCTTCAGCCTCGGCTTCAGCTCAGCCTGCCTCTGCCTCAGCCTGCATCAGCCTCAGCCTCAGCCCTCAGCCTCAGCCTGCCTCAGCCTCAGCCTCAGCCTCAGCCTGCCTCAGCCTCAGCCTCAGCCTGCTTCAGCCTCAGCCTCAGTCTGCCTTCAGCCTCGGCCTCGGCCTCGGCCTGCCTCAGCCTCAGCCTGCATCAGCCTCAGCCTCAGCCTGCCTCGCATCAGCCTGCCTCAGCCTCAGCCTCAGCCTGCCTCAGCCTCAGCCTCAGCCTCGGCCTGCTTCAGCCTCAGCCTCAGTCTGCCTTCAGCCTCGGCCTCAGCCTCAGCCTGCCTCAGCCTCAGCCTGCATCAGCCTCAGCCTCAGCCTCAGCCTGCCTCAGCCTCAGCCTGCATCATCCTCAGCCTGCTTCAGCCTCAGCCTCAGCCTGCATCAGCCTCAGCCTGAGTCTGCCTTCAGCTTCGGCCTCAGCCTCAGCCTGCCTCAGCCTGCCTCAGCCTCAGCATCAGCCTGCCTCAGCATTCAAAATGTGGCCAGGGAGTGGAATTCTGGGAACTCGAAGAACACGAAGTGGCCTACAGTTTGCTCCGGGCATTCAAAGTCATGCCCAGGAATGGAGTTCTGGGAAGTCCAAGAGCACGAAGTGGCCTACAGTTGGCTCCGGGCATCCAAAATGTGGCCCGGGAGTGGAGTTCTGGGAACTCGAAGACCACGAAGTGGCCTACAATTGGCTCCGGGCATCCAAAATGTGGCCCGGGAATGCAGTTCTGGGAACTCGAAGACCACGAAGTGGCTTACAGTTGGCTCCGGGCATCCAAAATGTGGCCCGGGAATGGAGTTCTGGGAATTCGAAGACCACGAAGTGGCCTACAGATGGCTCCGGGCATCCAAAATGTACGCCGGGAATGTAGTTCTAGCAGCACCAAGAGCGATTTTGCGAGGATGTCCCAGGCGATTTGTGCTTCGACGGCAGCCGCCCCGGGTCCCGCCCCGACCCCCCTGAGGAGTCATGATGCTCTCTTTTGACGCTGCTAGAAACCTATCAGTCTTCGCTGTTAGGTAAAAAAAGAAACCTATGTTGTGCAATATAGGTCGTGCGACTTATTTAGGGCGGCGACGAGGCGACGACGGCGACCACAAGCGCGGCGACCGACAGACCGGCCCAGTCGACGCGCAGCGACGAGGCGGCGACGGCGCGGCGACGGCGGCAGCATAGCCGCCAGACCGACAGACAGGCCTTGCTCATTGGAGGAGAGTGTAAGCCCCGCTGTGAAAACATTTTTTAGGGAATGAGTATCGAATTCCGGAGCTCCGCGCGGATTTCTTGGATCGGCGCTGGACCCCTCCTGGCGGCGCCTCCGGCGCCGCCCCTGGCGAGTTCCGCGCGCTCAGGGAAGGGGATCCAGCGCCGATCCTAACGAATCCGCGGGGAGCTCCAACATGATATGTTTATGGCGTTTTTGTTAATCCTCTACTCCTCTGGTTCCCCAGTCTCCCTCGTCCTCTTGAAGCCGTGCCTAGGCCCCCATTCATCCTGGTGGGCCCAGTGCCAGGCTGGCTATGTTTTTTGGCCGCGGGAGCCTTCTGGGTCGTGTGTGGGCTCCCTCGTCGTCCAGGGCACCGCGTTGCAAGGCGGCCGAGAGCGGCTGTGTCCGCCTGCTCCCTTGCGAAGTGCCCTGTACAGTCCCCGTGCGCTCCCCTCCCGTTGGACTTGCGATGGATTCGTGCTGCTGGGGGCACTGAGTGTTGGTCATCACGTGAGCCAGCATACATCTCACATGCTTGAGCTCATGATCTCCCTTCCTCGGGCTACGGCGTTCTCCACGCCATGCCCAAATGGGTACGGGCGGGCTCCCCAGCGAAGCGCACACGCTCACCACACGCTCACCACCGTTCGGTCGCTCATTCCCTGAGATCCGACGCTTGTGGAAAGAATGCAGCATAGCGAACAATCACGACCAGAGCTTTCTGCTACATCTCTCGTGCTGGGTCGATCTTTGAGGGCCCCGGGGGCCCGAAAGCAGGCGAACGCGCAGGGGGAAGTCGTCAACTGCAGCGCCTGGATCGCGGGCTTGTTCCCCCTCCACGACCGTCGCAGCCAAAGGGAGACAGACAGCCTTCCCCCGAACCAGCTGCGTGCGCCTCCGGTCAGCGTCGCGGGCGCCATGAGAACGGCCCCCTCGCTGAGCCGGCCCGTGGGCTCCGGCAAGATCTCCTTCGACCTCGGCGACAACGCAGGCCCGCCCACCACAGCGGACTTGCCCCCCCGACGCCCACCAGCAGCGCTGGCCCCCGCAGTCCCAGGCATCCCCCGAGATCGGGGCGGCGTTGAAGTTCTTTCGCGCGGGGCGCTTTCGCCCGGGTTCGGGCCCCGGAGCCCTGACAGATCGATCTGACTCGAGAAGTGCCGCGGGAAGATGGGGTCTGGGGCTCTGGTCGTGATTGTTCGCGATTGTGTTCTTTTCGCATCGTCGGATCTCAGGGGACGAGAGGCTCGGCAAAATCGAGATGAGTTTGTTGCTTGTCCTTTTGGCCCTCTGGAGGTCGGTTTCCAGGCCTCGTGATCGCCAGAAAGCAGCTGGGTTCGAAATGCTCACTGGCCCTGCATGGGGAAGGGGTCGAGAGGTTCTGGGGGCCCATGTCTCGAAAAATCGCGCCTTCAGGTCTCTGGGCATTTTTAGATCCACTGTCACTAGCAACGCGCTGCCCCCCAACAAAAACGGGGCAGCCCTTTGGGGGGGTCTCTTGGATCGTTGTGGAGCATTTGCGCAATCTGCCGAGAGGGACAGTATCTGCAGAACTCATATTCACCATGCCCCCTGCGTGCAGCAGTTTGCTGGAGACGATTCTGTTGAGGGGGTCAGCGCACAAGGCCAAGAGATCCAGCGGCGCAATTCTGTTGCAGACATCGGCCCCCGGACCTTTCGACCTTTTCTTGTGGGGTCAGTTTCTCGTCATGAGTGGCCTTCTGACGGCGCCAGGGCTTGGAAAACGGCCTTGCAGAGGACCAGAATGAAGAAAAAACGGCCGCCTAGACTTTTTCAAGCCGCCGAACTTTGACATCCGCCGATCTGGTTGCTTGAATCCGCAACGCCAGAGGTCACGACTGCTTGCAACGGGCGTGTTTTTCGTCCTGTGATGTCCTCGGGGCTCGAAAACGGCTCCCAGAGAGCTGAAATCGAGATCGTCGGAGATCTGCGTCGATTTGTTTGAGCCGCTGAATCTCCTGAGGGTGTGGGGGGGAATTCCGCTCAGACCCGCGCTCGGCGACGACGGAGAACCTTCGGCGGATCCCGGTTCCGCGCTCGCCCCCGGGCACCGGGAAAGTGTCTGCCAGCTACGCCGTGGGCGACCAGGTGGAATATCCGGCCGCCTGCGGCTAGTGCCGCTGCGGTGCTAACCCAGACCTCCGACGATATGTTTGTCGTTAATCGTTGGGTTTTCCTCGATTTCGGCCTTCTGGAGGCTGCTTCCAGTCTCGAGACGAAAAGCGACCCCGGCGAAACGCGACCCCGGGGATGCGGTCGGGTCCTTTGGGGCCGCGGATGCAAAAACCGATCAGTGGATAATCAGGGCGTGCCGTTGCCATGCCGACGAAGCAGCTCCCCTGACCTCGCGTCCCGGGAGCAGCATTCAGGATGGTGTTCGGCCGCTCCCGGTCTCTGGGGGCCCCTCTCCGTCTCTGGGTCACCGGGCCCCTGCACCGTGGACAGCTCTTCGGGGCGAGGAGCTGGTTCCGGCGGAGTGGTCCAGGCCTCTGTCGGCCCCCGCCGTGAGAAGGACGGCGTCGGATGGCCGGGTCGCGAGCGGAGCTCTGGGCATGTCCACCGCCTCGCGGCTCGGGCTCCTCGGCCGCGACTCCACGGATGCATGCAGTCTGGGGCGTGTGCCCCGCGCGCGCGGAGCGTGTCCACGGGACAGCGTCTCCATCGCATTGCGGCTCGGTGTCGAGACCCCCACGCCAGAGGCCCAGAGATACAGCGCCTCGGCGAAGAGGAAGGCGGCCAGTGTTTCGCCATGCGGGCCCTCTGGAGGCAGGCTTCCAGCCCCGCGGTATCGAAACATTGCGCCGCCCAGCTCGAGGGATAGAGAACAGCCCTCAACTTTCGAAGGTCAAGGTGGACATCTTGGGTCGTCGCTTCCGGCGCCGCCCCCCGGCAGGGCTCATTTCGATTCTTCCGATTCGATTCGATTTCGATGGCTTCCGATTCTGATTCGATTCGACTTCGGATTCCGATTTGAGTTCTGGTTTCTCACTGGAGGCCCACTAGCCACTCCTCCCGACTCGGTTGTCGATTTCCGCCGGTCCGATTCATTTAGATCTCCGATCCGACTTATCGATCCGATCCTGGGATCTCCTGCCTCGGTGCGTTCCGAGGAGCGCCTGGCGTCGACCCCAGGCATGCGCAGGAGGCGGAGAAGGCGGAGGAGGCGGAGGAGGAGGAGGAGGAGGAGGAGGAGGGAGGAGGAGGAGGAGGAGGAGGAGGAGGAGGAGGGAGGAGGAGGGAGGAGGAGGAGGAGGATGAGGAGGAGGAGGAGGAGAAGGAGGCGGAGGAGGAGAAGGTCGACCTCTGGCAGTCCCCGACGGTATGCCTCGCCGAGGGATCGCCGAAGAGGTCCCCCGGTGGGACGATGCCGCACGCGCTCCCGAAGCTGGGTGGGGAGAGCGCAGGCCGGGATTGGCGACGAGAGGGCGGTGCATGGCCGATGTTTCGAATTCGAACCAGTCACTCGGCACGAACGAAATGGGCACTTATACGGAAAGAATGGGTACAGTGCCTAACAGCAGTTCCTCTTCATTTCGAGCTGGACTCTCTGTCCGAGCCGCCGCGGACGCTGTCCATGGAAGACAAAAAGCCGCCTGCCCAACAGCGGCTGCTGTCGGTTTTGAACAATGTTTGTTGTTGGGCATTGTATCCATTTTCTCCGTACTAACATCGGGCGTCCAAAGTCACACCCCCCCAGACATCCGCCGATGTGATCTTTGCAATCCGCGGCCCCGGACGTCCCGACCTCTTCCCCGGGGCCCGTGTTTCGTTCCGGTGCCGTGTTTGATGACCCCGGCGTTTATTCGTGCATCCGACAAAAAACGAGATCGAGCACCCAGGACTGTGCCATCGCAGCAGCGCAACGGAGATGAGGTTGAATTTCGGATTTGGTGCGGATCGGCGTCATGTTTGAGTTGGCACGGTGCTTCAACACCCTCTCATTGACCGCAGTCTCGTGATTTTCATGTTCGTTTCCTTTTCCTCGTCTCATCCTCCTGCTTCCCCTCCACCTTCGAAACCTTGGAGGCTTCTTTGGTTTTTCTTTGGGGCCTCTTCGGAGCCTGGGGCCCAGCTGGGGTCTCGGGTCTCGGAGCCATCTTCGGGAGCAATGGTTCTACCGAGCCGTCGTTTGAACTATCATGGTAATGTCTGAGAAGGTCTTCGGTCCTGCCAGAGCGATCTTGGCTTCTATTGTAAAATTATGGGGCGAACTCGGGGCCAAGTTGGTGCCCTCTTGGGGCCGCAGCGGTCAAACACCGAAACCCATCGGAAGTGACATACTTATTTTGCATTGCTAATGTGTATCATGGTTTGGATGTTGGCATCTCCGAAAGAGCGCGTTCTGTGGTCGCTTGGACGGGGTGGGGTTGAAACCGGACCCCCCCCCTCCCTTCCTCCCCTGCTTCCCCTCTCCTCGGGACGGCGCTTACGTCGGCGGCGGCTGGCGGCGGCGGCGGGGGCGACGATTTTCTTTTCTGGGCCGGCGCCAGCGCCTGCGGCGGCGGGCAGCGGCGGCGGGGAGCGTTGACGAGGACAACAGTGGTGGTGGTGGGTTGTGGTGGTGGTGGTGGCGGTGGTGGTGGTTGTGGTGGTGGTGGTGTGGTGGTTTGTTGTGGTGGTGGTGGTTAAGGTGATGGGTGGTGGTGGTGGTGGTGGTTTGGTGGTGGTGGTGGTGGTTTGTGGTGGTGGTGGTGGTGATGGTGGGTTGTGGTGGCGGTGGTGGTTTGGTTGTGGTGGTGGCGGTGGTTTGTGGTGGTGGTGGTGGTGGGTTGTGGTGGTGGCGGTGGTTTGTGGACGTGGTGCTGATGGTGGTGGTGGTGGCGGTGGTGGTGGCGGTGTGGTGGTTTGTGGCGGTGGCGGTGGCGGTGGGTTGTGCTGGTGGTGGTGGTTGTGGCGGTGGTGGTGGTGGTGTGGTAGATTGTGGTAGTGGTCGTGGTGGTGGTGGGTTTTTGTTGTGGTGGCGGGGTGGTGATGGTGAGTTGTGGTAGTGGTGGGTGGTTTGTGGTGGTGGTGGTGGTGGTGGTGGTGTGTGGACGTGGTGGTGGTGGTGGTGGCGGTGGTGGTGGTGGTGTGGTGGTGTGGTGGTGGCGGTGGGTTGTGCTGCTAGTAGTGGTGGTGGTTGTGGCGGTGGTGGTGGTGGTGTTGTAGATTGTGGTGGTGGTGGTGGTGGTAGTGGTGGTGGGTTTTTGTTGGTGGTGGTGGTGGTGGTGGTGATGGTGAGTTGTGGTGGTGGTTGTGGTGGTGGTGGTGGCTGTGGTGGTGGTGGTGGTTGTGTGGTGGGTTGGTGGTGGTGGTGGTGGTGGGTTGAGGCGTGGTGGTGGTGGTAGTGGTGGCGGTGGTGGTAGTGGTGGTAATCGTCGCTGCGTCCCCGCCGCGCCAGCGCCTGCTGGCCGCCGCCAGCGCCGGCGCCAGGGGGGGGGTTTGAACCCCCCCCGCCCCCGGCGCCAGGGGGGGGGGGGTTTGAACCCCCCCATGGGGGGGGTTGAAACCCCCCTCCCCCCCACCCTAGGGCTGCTCTGGTCATCGTTGCTGCGTTCCCGCCGTCGGCGCTGCTGGCGGCCGCCAACGCGGCGCGGCGCTGGGAGGGGGGGGGGGGGGGTATGGGGCCCCCCGAGGGGGGGGGGGGGGGTTCGGGAGGGGGGGGGGGGGCTTGGGGGGAGGGGAGCCCCCCAGTCTTGATCGACGGCGCCGAGTGTTGGGGGGGGGCGCCCACCCCACGGTTCGAAACTCGCCGCCGAATGTTCCCATGGCAAGCGCCCGTGAAACGCGTTCTCTCGCATCTCCATGGCATGGATGCCTTTCCCAGCGTCTCTTGAGGGTCTCTTGGGCCCGCTTGGGGCATTCGAGGGAGATCTTGAAGACTGTGGGGGCTCGCTGGCCCGCCTTGTGCTGGTCAGGAACAGTATTGCAGCCGTCTTGGAGCGATCTTGGGCCTTGAGCCATGCTGCGACCCTCGAAGGGCTGAAACGGACGACAGGGAGCAAACTAGTTTTTTGTTTTTGGGGGGGGTCGACCATTAGGTGTTTGTTTGTTTTTGTTGCTTGGGGGCGCGACATGTGCAAACTGTAACCCGACCAGGCAACCAGCAAACACTCTGACACGCCCCACTGTGCCAAGAGCGCGGCGTCGGATTTCGGGGCCACGCAGGGGAAGTGGATTCCTGCAAGGGTTCTCACGGCCAACCCAGACGGCACCTGGGATCTCGACTGTAAGCCAGCCGTGCCCGCGGAAAAAATCCGCTGGCCTTCCACGGCCGACGCCCTCTACGCGGTTGGCGACGTCGTGGAGTACTTCGGCGCGACGCAGGGCAAGTGGATCCCAGCGAAGGTGCTCAAGGTACTCGGGGAGCAAGCACTGACATAAGCATGGACCCCCCTCCCTGGTGCGCGGAGCGCGCCTGGGGAGGCGACGGAGGCGCCGCCAGGGCGCTCCAGCGCCGATCTGAGGAATTCACGCGGACTTCCGAATTTTCTAATTCAAGTCAGCGTTTGTCCCCCTAGGTAAACCCTAGTGGCACTTTCGACCTTGACTGCAAGCCCCTCGTGCCGCCCGAGAAGATTCGGCGGCCGCCGGCGGCCGCCAAGTTCAAGGCGGGCGAGGCCGTGGAGTACTTCAGCAGCACGCAGAACAGGTGGATACCCGCGAAAGTGCTGGCAGCCAATGACAATAACACCTTCGACCTGGACTGCAAACCCCAGGTAGCCCCTGAGAACATCCGTGTTGCCTCCGTGGCCCCTTCCGCTCCGCCCAGCCCGCAGCTGCCCGTGCCCCCGCCAGCCGCAGGCATCACCACGGCCGCCGATCTCAGCAGGCCCGCGGCAGCAACGGCTTACAGCCCCGGGGAGTCCGTGGAGTATTTCGGGGCGACGCTGGGCAAGTGGATCCCGGCCAGGGTGGTGCGGGCGAACGCAGACGGGAGCTACGACCTGGACTGCAAGCCGGCGGTGGCTCCCGACAGGATCCGGCGGCCGCACAGTACCTCGGGGCACCGGGCCGGGGACCTGGTCGAGTACTTCAGCGCGACCCACGCGAGGTGGATCCCCGCCAAGGTGTTGTCCGTCGGCCCGCGCGGCCTCTACAACCTCGACTGCAAGCCGGACGTGGCGCCGGACAAGATCCGCAAGCCCGAGAGCGAGGTGCCGCCCGCGGCTCCGGGCCACGCGTTCGAGGAGGGCGACGCCGTGGAGTACTTCGGCGCCACCCAGCGCCGCTGGATCCCGGCGCGGGTGCTCAAGGCGAACCTGGACGGCACCTACGACCTCGACTGCAAGCCCGCGGTGCCGCCCTCGAAGGTGCGGGCGCCGGGCTCCGCGGACCAAGGGGCGCCCGCCAGCACCGGCACGTCAGTGGACCTGCTCCCGCCCTCGGGCACCGTGCCCGGCACCCAGCTCCAGACGCTGCTGCCCCCCGCCGCCCACTCCGGCAGCGCCGCAGGGGCTGTCCTCGGTGAGCCGGTGCAGCTGCTGCGCGCGCGCCGTGCGGGCGCCGCATGGCGCTACGAGGTGTGCCCCGAGGGCGCTGCGGCGCTGGAGCGGTACGGTTCACGGCGCATTGCGGTGGCAGCCATCTCCGGGCTGCAGCGCAGCGGGAAGAGCTTCCTGCTGGACCTGCTCACGGAGCGCAAGCAGCGCGGAGACCGCTGCAGCAGCGCGCCCACCCAGGGCCTGTGGCTCCACGGCGCACTGGACGGCGACGCGGGCAGCCCACTGCTGGCGCTCGTCGACTGCGAGGGCCTGGACGGCGCGGGCTCGGACCCTGCGCACAGCTCCCGCTTGATGACCCTGTGCGCCTTGCTCTCGTCGGTCTTCGTCATGAACTCGAGCGGGCGCTTAGACGACGACGTCTTCAGCGCGCTGGCGCCCATCTGCCGCCTCGACGCCAACGCCGAGGAGCGCGGCGGCGAGCCCTGCAGACCGGAGCTCCTGTGGCTGCTGCGCGACCTGCCGCCGGAGGAGCTCGTGGAGTCGGCGGACGACCACCTGGAGAGTGCACTGTACTCCACCGCGGCAGGCCGGGACGCAACGAGCAGGCAGCCGGCGCGGGAGGTGCGGCAGGGCCTGCTCAAGTTCTTCCGGCACCGCGGCTGCGTCGCGCTGCCGCCGCCCGTGCCGGGCGCGCAGCTGCATCAGCTGGACCAGCTGCCCTTCTCGGCGCTCAGCGACGAGTTCCGCGGTGGCCTGGAGAGGCTCTCGATGAGCAACGAAACAGGAGCAGTAGCTTTCGGAGCTGCGCGCTGGAAGCCCTTGGTTGCGCCTCCGGCGCGCCACTGCCGCGCTCCGCGTACCAGGGAGGGGGGTCCAGCAACGATCCACGAAAAGCCGCACTGAGCTCCGTCAGGTTTTGCTTGTGCCGCTTTCTGCTCCTCCAGACCGCCTGCACGCAGAGGGGGGTATAGGGGGAGGGGGGACGGCTTCTCACAGAAGCACCCCTGCTTCTGTGAGAAGGTGCGGGCCTCCTCTACAGATGTGGGGCCGGCGCCTTCTGAGAAGCAGCCTCATTCTAGTAAGCCTTTGCCCCCTCCCCTCGCCTCCTTGTGAGCGCCGCCAGCTCGAGGCTTCGCTCCCACCTCGTCGCCGGCTGCCTGGCCAACCCGAAGGCGGTGGGCGGGCAGCCGCTCGGGTGCCGCTCTGGGGGGGGGGGGGCAGAGAGGTACCGATGCCGCTAGTCGTAAGTCGGGCCTGTTCCTCTACAGGGGGGATATTCCAAAGTAGTAGAAAAATAGTCTGGGGACTATTTTTGAGTATTTGTTGACCTTTCGGCATATTTTGGGGGTATCTTTATTTTTCGTCGGAATTCCCCTGTAGGGGGACACGCCCGACTTAACGCTAGTCCCCGGGCCTCTGCCGGGGTGTGCTCTGACCAGGCCTTCGAGGGCAGTCCTTCTAGGCCTCCTAGATGGGGTCCAGGTAGATGGGGTCGGAGGGGCGCGCCGCATCGCCTGTGCATCGCCGATGCGGCTCGATGTGGTGCCCGATTTGCTTCACGTCAGCGTCGCCGGTGCATCGCCGACGTCAACGATGCATCTCCGGTGAATCACCGATGCATCGCCGAAGCATCGTCGATGCATCGGCGCTGCGGGGCGCTCCCTCGACCGCATATTCTCCGACCCCATCTAGGAGGCCTCTAGTCCTGAGAGGAGCAAGCGGTCATAATGACGTTCGGTTCAAGGATGTTCAAGGCTTCCAGGATGCCCCATATTTGGGCGTTTTCATCTCGGGGCCTTTCGTGTTGTTCCCCTCCGTCATGCTCATGATCATTTGTATTCCTCTTCTGCTTCTTTGCGACTGTCTTCGTGTATTTGTATGTTCCGGATCGCTGCCCGCTGGAGCAGCACTTCTGCCGACGTAAAAAAGCACTTGCTTTTTAGGCAGCCGTGGATAGAAGCATATTCCAGACATGTTGGTACACGGGTTGTTGTCCGACAAACGTCTTCTCATTTGGCGCCCTTGCGATGTTTCGTCACATGGGAGAAACAAGGAAGCTCTAATATTCAGCTCTGGCCTGCGCAGCTAGATGCTCTGGAACGTTTCCTGAGCCGATACTTTCATGACGTATCGTCGCGCCGTCTGTTCCGACGCGCGGACTTACGTCTTGGGGAGAGCGCCGCGGGCGCCAGGGCAAACGCCGCCGAGGACGCAGGGTTCGCCGTGGGTTTGCCGCTGTGTCGGCGTCGTCCACTTGGGCGCGTTCAGAACAAAGCGGCGTTGCGACACGTCATCCTCGCTCTAAGCCCTTCCGTGGCGACGAGAGCTCTCCAGGACGGGGAGCGGTGATTGCCAGCTCCTTCTCATCCCCCGGAGGTGCCTCTCCTTCGTGGCGCTGCTGCGGCAGCTCGTGGCGGCCGTGAACGACGACCGCATCCTCAGCATGAAGGCTGGGATGCGCTTCCTGGGAGATGGGGATCAGCATCGGCGCAGGTGTTACGCGCCGGTCGTTGTAAGTAGGTATGTTTTTGGATTCCCCACATGCCAATCTACTTCAAGCGCCTTCCTACTTCAAGAATCGGCTTGCTGTTGCTGTGTTTTGTTATTCTCTGGGAGGGCCTGGACCCAATCCACTTTATCCGCCTTCCTACTTCATGTTTTTACCTACTTCTTCCGACCGACGTGTATCCGCGACCGAGAACCAAGCCATTCCATAAGAGTATTGTTCAATTCTGGTTCCACCCTGCTGAATCCAGCGTTATTCGGCGTAATCCCAGACTTGGCCCAGCTTAGTCCAGCTCAATGGCCCAAGACTTGTTTTTTGCCAAGACTTCCCCCAGAAGCTGTCTCCTAGCGGATGCTCACGGCAGTGACCACCCTGCCCGTTATCCCTCCTCTTCGTCCTCATTCTCTTTCTTTCTTCCTCATCCTGTCCCAGTCTCAGCATCTCAACGGCAGTTCGGTTTGGTTCGCAGGGCCAGCTGAGATGTGAGATGTCCAACATAGTCGAACCGATCATCATCCCCAAAGGGGCATGGTATCTCAGCCCCACAAGGCCACCCTCCAAGGTGGGGATAGGCCCCGCGCACCCCGCAGGAACAGGCGTATATGATCCCAGGTCGAGGGTTCACAGCCCCCCCTTCCCAGACGGGATGGGCCCCAGGGTTCCACAATCCCTCTCCCCAAGACGGGACGGGGGGGACGACGACCGACGACGACGACGACGACGACGGCGCCGACGATGACGACGACGACGCGACGACGCCCACGCCGACGCCGGCACCGACGCCGACGCTGACGCCGACGCCGACGCCGACGCCCGACGCCGTCGCCGACGCGGACGCCGACGCCGACGCCGACGCCGCCGACGACGACGACGACGGCGATGACGACGACGACGACGATGGTTATGTTGGTTCTGAAGTATGGTAGGGCTGTTGTTTCAGAGCATTGGCAGATACTTGACCTCATGAGGGTGCCGAAATCTTGTCATACAGCCTCACTTTTGGATTACAGATATGTCGCGAAGTCGCCAGTCTTGCAGAAATGGTTTTTGTCGTGCGTCGTCCAGTTGGTCGAGAAACACTTGGTCCCCTCGCTGGTGAATGTTTACGGTTTTTTGCGGGGCACTTGTGCTTCTTATGTCAGCGAGTCTGTCAGAGAAATCTTGCATAAAGCTCGAGAAAGGAACCGTCCTGACTTTATATGGGGGGAGACGTGGAGACAGCTTGCGACGCCATGCAGCACGCGCACATGGAGTCGGCCTTGGAGAAGATCCGTACCTCCAGAATTGATCTTGGCGATTTTGGGTCAGATGACAAACTTGAAAGGTCGCGTAACCATCGCCGATGCTCAACCCAGCGACCTTTTTGAGCATGCGAGAGGGAGGCGGCAGGGAGGTGTAGAGACGCAGACTGCAGTCAACATCATGGTCGAGAGCGTCATGGAGGATTGTGTTCAAGATTGGAATGGGAGGTGCGTGGGTTTGAGCATCGATGACGTTTTCGTCAACCATTTCTTGTGGGCGGATAATATTTGGCTTGTGGCGTCGTCTGAGAGCGATCTGCAGTCCATGGTCGCCCAGTTGTCGGTCTCTTTCTACAGCCGGGGCTTCAGGTGGAAAGCATCTCCTCCGCAATGTATGTGCAGCCTCAATGTTGAGATGGAGGGCTTCCAGATCACTGTGCATGGGCTTGACGCCTTGCAGGTACCATCTGTAGACAGCAGGATCGTCCTTGGCGTCGTCCTATCTCGATCCGGCTCCAAGCCCGAGAGCGTACGGTATCGCATGGTGCAGGCAGATCGGTGTTTCTATATGCGCGCCAACAGACTCGGAGGCTTGCAGCAGAGGTCGCATTTTTCTTCGCGACTGCAGTGCAGACGCTGCTGCACAACGCGGGCGGGTGGCACGTGAACGGCGAGCTGCTCAGCACCATCCAGGCATAGGATAATCATGAGTTCAGGAGGGTTTTTTGGCATGTGGCGACGGCCTGATGAGTCCCACAGCCAGTCCTTACAACGCACTTTTAGGACTATCGCAGCATTGCTACGCAAGACTGGTCAACAACGCACTCATGAATCAATTCTGAGGCGTCTTCATATGTGGGTGGAGCGGGCGCTGCATCATGAACTTCCCACGGGGGAAGCCCCGTTGGCTTTGTTACTGAGAGTTCGTAGCCGCCGACAGTGAAGCCAGATATGGCCAGTTGGTTATATGGTTGACCACGACAACAACACCGGTTGGAGACATTGGAAGCCCGGGAGTCTTTTAGCCTGGGAGGACCCACTCGTGGGAACAATGGGATGTGATTGGTGGGATGCTGCATTGTCGGGAGGTACAGGCTGGAGACGGACAAAAAACTGGATTTCATCATCGAGGCCTGCCGGCTGTGGCACATCACCGTCGAGGACGCGGCGTTATCGACTTTTGAGGCCGCGCGGCCAGGCGCAAAGATAGTTATACCGGTTTGGGCTCCTGGGGATGAGATCTGGTGGCGAGACAGCCGCCGGTGCTTCGAATTCCGAGTGGACACCAAGAATTTGGCCGACTACTTGCCTGGAGCGTCGCGCTGTGAGCCGGGCCCGGCCAGGGACCGGCTTGCCGTCGCCAGCACGTTTCTCGGGAAGGCGGTGCAGCAACGGAGCTGGTTCCCGCGTCAACCGTATGCCGATTGGGCCGTGTGGCTTCCGCGAGATAGTTAATCGGATCATGGATAACAGTGTGTAGACACCATGGGTGGCTTGAAGGCTTCCGATTGCAATTTGGTTTTCATGTCTGACGGGGGGGCTCCGCCAAGACGGACGTCGCGCAGCGGCGTGGGCAGTGTGTTTTTTTCCACAGTGGGCGGCCGACGGTGATTGCGTGCGGCGGCTCGCCTTGTCAGGTCGATTCCAGCTTTGATGCCGGATTGTTGGCTTGGGATTGCGCGGTGGCCGTCTTCTGGGGCTTGGCAGTCGGCCGAGGCATTTGCGTTCCACATAGCATCGACGAGGAGTTCCGGGGTGGTTTCGAATGGGATCGGGTAGGTTGTAACTGCACGGCTATGGCTTGAAGCAGCGTCGGAAGGAAGGAAGGACGACGACGACGGCGACAACGACGACGAGCAACTCCACACCCACAGGAGGAGCGTGGGGGGCACCGGGGGCACCTGCACCCTCCACCACACCACGCCCACAGCTGTGCACAGAGCCATTCGCGAGTCATTCGCGAGGCTCACGGGCGCGCCCAGGGGGGGGAGGGGGGCTCGATCCCATACGCAGTGTGGGGGGGAGGGCACCCCTGAATCATCTATCGGCACCTTGGTGGATCAGTCGGCGAGCGGGCCAATGCCACGCAAGCGGGGCTAGGGATCGGTGAGCCGATGTTCAGAGGTGCGTAGTTGGTTGCAGGCGTCCTCTGTCAAGGACTAAGAGCTGCCTCCTTACGCAAGATGATGAGCAAGAGCTTACCGGGGGTCGCGTTCGCGCGCCGGCGCCCCGGATGATTATGAGAAAATCGGGCCCTTTGCCGCGAAACCATTATGGGGTCGTTCTCCCTCCCGCCCTCCGCGGGCGCGCGCCTGGACGGTCGACGGGCAAGACGGAGCCGAAGCGAAGCGGAAGCCGAAGATCCGGAAATGTTGTTGTCAACCGTTCGCCCCCCAATTCTTGTATTCATCGTCGTCGTACATTGCACGGCGGTCGTTGGAAGAAGGTACGTCTGGCCTCCCAGATCCCATTCTGCTGTAGCCGTCTTCCTACTTTAAGTCGAGTGGTTTCTCCGCCTTCCTTCCTCTGCAGGGTGCGGGCGGAAGCCCCGTCTGCTTCCAACACCTTCCTACTCTATGTTTCCACCCACTTCTTCCGACCGACGTGCAATGCATCGGCGGCGAGCGAGGAGGGGAAACGAGAAGGAGAAAGCCTTCTCAGAAGGCAGCGGGACTTCTCAGAAGCCCTCAGGCCTTCCGAACAGTTTTTAGAAGGCGTTTCCAGCGAAGGCTTCGATCAGGAGGAGAAAAACACACAGACACAGTTGACCGTCGATTTCCTAGAAAATATTGGAAACTATGGGCCGTGGGGGGGAAGACAGACACCCAGAAAATATGGAAAAAATATGGGGAATATTTTTATTTGTTTGTATTTCTTTGCGTGTCATTAGAAACCTCTCACAAGGCTGGGGGACTTCCGAGCCTTCTGGGAAGGCCGGCCCCTTCTCCGCCAGGCTCGCCGCCGTCCCGGCGGGGCCCCGCTCCGAAATCCGGCAAGTGGCGCCGAAGCACTGGGGACGTGGGCGACGGCCTCCGCCCAGAAAAAAAAGGAGGGAGGAGGAGGAGGAGGAGGAGGAGGAGGAGGAGGAGGAGGAGGAGGTGGAGGAGGCAGGAGGAGATGGAGGAGGAGGAGGAGGAGGGAGGCAGGAGGAGGAGGAGGAGGAGGAGGAGGAGGCGGAGGAGGAGGCAGGAGGACGAGGAGGAGGAGGAGGCGGAGGAGGAGGAGGGAGGAGGAGGAGGAGGAGGAGGAGGAGGAGGAGGAGGAGGAGGATGGAGGAGGTGGTGGAGGAGGAGGAGGAGGAGGAGGTGGAGGTGGAGATGGAGGTGGAGGGAGGAGGAGGTGGAGGAGGAAGCAGGAGAAGGAGGAGGGAGGAGGATGAGGTGGAGGAGGAGGAGGAAGAGGAGGAAGTGGAGGAGGCAGGAGGAGGAGGAGGAGGAGGAGGAGGAGGAGGAGGAGGAGGAGGAGGAGGAGGAGGAGGAGCCTTCCCCCCCTGGGGCTCGCCGCCGAGTGCAGGGCGCCTGGGAGACGGTGCAGCACACCGTGTGCGGCACGCTGGCCGACGAGCTGCGGGCGCAGGCGGCCGAGCGGCTGCACGCGCTGGCCGCGGGCCAGCCGGTGCCCGGCGGTGCGCGGCTGCCTTTGACGGACGAGGCTCTCCGCGGCGTGCTCCGCGACCAGCGCCACTCACTCAAGGCACTGAGCCTCGGGAACGGAATGGAAGAGTATAAGGGGAAACAGCGCCACAAGCATGATCTTTTGGCGCTCTGCGCGGATCTCCTTGTGGCACTCCGCGCGGATCTCTCGGATCTACGCTGGGCTCTCCCCGGCGGCGCCTCTGGCGCCGCCGCTGGCGCGCTCCGCGCGCCGGGGCGCAGATCCTATGAAAGGAATCCGCGCGGAGCGCCAGAAGTTTAGCGTTGCTCTTCTTCTAATGAAAATAAAAGGTGCTCGTGCGAATGTGTGACCCTAACGTTCTAGGTCTCCCAGGTGGGGTCCGAGTAGATCGGGTCGGAGGATCGCGCCGCATCGCCGATGCATCGGCGATGCGGCTCGATGTGGAGCCCGATTTTCCCCACGCCGACATCGCTGACGTCGCCGGTGCATCGCTGATGTATCGGTCATGCATCGGTAATGCATCGGCGATGCGGCGCGATCCTCCAGCCCCATCTAGCCGGACCCCATCTAGGAGGCCTCTAAACGTGGACCCCCCTCTCCATCCCGGGGGGGGAATTGGAGGGGGGACCACCTCGGCGAGAGGCCTGGCCTCCTCTCTCTTGCTCCCCTCCTCTGCCTCCTCTTCGTCCCTCCCTCGCCCCTTCGCCCCCGATTCCCCCCCGCCCCTCCCCTCCGGTTGTCTGGAGACGCGGGGCCCCATATCATCGAGAGCGAGAGAGCTCCCAGCCCTGACAACACAATGACGACGTATCCTACCTTAGGTGTCCCCGTCGTTGCACTATGGAATAAGAAGTGTCTTCAGAGGAGGCAAGGTACCTCTGCAGCTACCCCTGCCTCGCTTCCCCCCCTCTTCGGCCCTCCCGGGGCGCCCTCGCCGCCACCGTTGGACTCGCCTCGAGCGTCGTGGTCAGAACGCACCTCAGAAAAAGTCCGCGGAGCAGGGGTAAAGAAACCCAAAGGAATGGATCGACATCCATGAGTATTCATATAGAAATCTATAGGGGTGTAGAAAAATCCATAGGGATGTAGAGAAATCTATCGGGAACCCAAAAATCGATCGAAATCTGTTGAGGATGTTTCAGAGAGGACCAAAAGCAAAGGATGTCTCAAGATATCCTCGGCTTTGGCTCCTCTGTTAACATCTTTATGCTGGCCTCTGGTGGGCAACTTTTATTATCACCCCGTAGCCGCCGAACTTTACTATCCCTGGGGGTTTATTCTCGGGGGCATGGGGTTAATAAATGACCGGGGGTCGTGTTCACGCGGCGGCGCCCGGGATGACGATTAGAAAAAACCGGCCGCGGGCTGGAAAACTATTTTCATGCATCGTTCTCCTCCAGTCCGAAAATTGTGCAGAAGTATCAGCAAACTATGTTTTAAATCGTTCTCTCCCATTTTTCTATTAATTGTCATCCCGCATTATCCGTACCAATTGGTTTTCTCGGGCATGGGCGGTCTGGCTCGATACCCCTGCTGGCAGCAAAGAGGACCCCCCATTCTCCCCAGTGGGCGAGGAGCGATTCTGAAAACCCCGAACCCGAGCACGTCACCTCCTGGGGGCGCAAGTTTTACTTCCGCCGAGCGCCCGCCGAGCTTCCGCCGGCCTCCGCAGGCGGAGGTGCCCTCGGCCTGCTTCCCCCCGCCCTCCGCCGACCGTCCGCCGCCTGCCGCCGCGGAAGCGGTGACAAGCCCGTCGGCCCTCGGAGGCAGGGCCCTCTTTGGAGCGCCCCGCATGTTTTGGGCCTCTTTAGGGCCGCTCCCGGATGGTTACAGGCAGCCCGGACTAGCAGGTCAACCCTGCCAGAGCAAGGGTACCCTCGTGTCCGGTGTCTCGCGACCACGGAAGGGTCTCGTGTCCTCTCGCGTGTCCTCTCGCGTGTCCTGCCCAATCAAGTCCGACTGTATGGGGTCCTCCAGTGGCCCATCGATTGAGAGGGGGAAAAGGGTATGTACGGATACTGCTGCTCGCCCTGGAGCGCCCTGGTTGCAACGGCTAGATGATCCTCGAAGTGCTAGTCAGAATGCTTCGGCAGCAGATCATGGGAGCCTCGTGTGTCCTCATAGTCCTGTCTTCCGAGTGCGTTCGCATGCGCTGGCCTGGTAATTTATGAGAGCGCGCAGATTTAGTGTCGGTCGATGAGCGTCGTTTTGCGTCGGCCTGGCGTCAAGGAGTTGAGGTCTGGGCGAGACAAAGAATCACAACCACAACTGAGTGGATTTTCGGGAAGGCACCTCGGGGAGCCCACCGACCTCGACATGAACACTTTGGTTGTGTGGTTGTAGTCGATTCTGGCGTCCTGGGGCGCCACATCGACCACAACAAGTACTAAGCTGACTTCGGTGTTCTGACGAGTATGGGCATGCGCAGGACATCTCCCAGGATGTGCCCTCGATGTGGTTGTGGTCGCCTGCTGTCCCCGCATACGCAATTCCTCATCACAGGGAGGGTGTCACAACCCTCCTGGACAGGCAATTTGAAAGTCCCCCGACCAATCATGAAAGGGTGGCCTCTTGCTCAGACCCCCCTGGAGCACTCAAGACAGCTCCAATCAGACCTCCCCCCAAGTCGGGCACCCTGCTTTCTGCTAGGTGTGAGATCCGGAGTGCGGCTGCTGCTCGCCCAGAAGACAAGGGCTCCCACGAGGGCGCGAAGTTATTCGCGCTTCGCGCTTCGCGGTCCTCGTTCCTTCTCCCCCCTCCTCCTCGTCCTCCTTTTCTCCCTTTGGGAGGGCGGCGCGAGAGCGCGAAGTTATTCGCGCTTCGCGCTTCGCGCAGCGCGAAGCGCGAAGTTGGGAGCCCTAGACGGCACGGCACGGCGCCACGGATCGGCACAGCGGCGCATCGGGCGCCGCCACGGGCGCGCTCCGCGCGCCAGGCCAGGGCGGTCCAGCGCCGATGCGGGCAGCCCGCGCGGAGCTCCGACGGCTCGTGTTTCTCGACCCTCCTGCGCTCGGTTTCCGTTCTGCATGGAGTGCTGGGGTCGCGACCTCCCTCCCTCCCTCCCGCATCCCTCCTCTGTTTTTCCCTGTCATCCTGCCTCCTACTTCTCTGCCTGTCTCGGACCTACCTCCTACCTCGCCATCCCTGGGGGGCTGCGACGTCAGAAGCTGTCGCCACTTTCGAGGTCTGCTGTGGGGGCCAGCACCGTCGGGGGCTACGCATCTGACCTCGCCATCCCTGGGGGCTGTGAAGTGTGAAGCTGTCGCCACGTTCGATTGCTGCTGCGGGGGCCAGCACAGTCGGGGGCTTCGCAGATGCAGTTTTGACCTCGCCACCCATACGGGGGGGGCGCGGGCCGCGAAGTGTGGAGCTGTCGCCGCTCTCAAGGGTTGCAACGGGGGGGGCAGCACAGACGGGGGCCACGCAGATGTATATTAGACCTCGCCGTCCATGA